GAAGAAAACCACCACCAATACAAAACTTCTACACATAAAAAAAATGCTGCAAACGAAGAGTGATCGGATTCAAGATTCAGTAGACAAAACATCATATAAACATGGGCATCGGAGGGACAGATGGACAGGCGAATAAGCATGCATGTGTAATAAAAGTTGGGTCTATCTGAAGCCCTTCAACGTTCACATAAACTCAATGCGGACTCAATAAACTCAACGAATGCTAGGAACCACGAAAAAGTAAAATTTTACAATCGGAGCAACCATAACGAAGAAAAATAAAGAGGAGCAGATGTGGATTAAAAAGAACATCGGCTTTCTCTTTGAACTTTTCTTCCACATAACAAGGACATCCTACTTCCCATCCTACTTTCTTTTTCAATATAACCCTAATTAATTGACATTTAAGAAAATGCTTTAATTTCTTATCATGTCCAGGAACTTTATCCAAAAACGTTATCTGAAATTTAATCAAGACCGTAGTCAAAAAAAGCCGTGCATTTTATTGCCTGCAATTTTTTTTGGTACATAAGGAATTTCAACCACATATAATACAAACACATATGTCGATCTAAGCTCAAAGCACTCTCTACTGCTTGCACATGTTAGAGTTTTTTTTTTTTTTTTTGCACACTTTAGCACAAGCACCAAAGATTTATATATGTTTTTATGAAAAGTTACAGAAACGTAATACATTACGTTTTTTCATCATAAACTAAACTTGAACGAAAGTGTTAAGTTATTGCACTTATATGCAGCCAATGAGTTTACCTCGCAACAATTGAAGGGAATGAATGAAATGTGTATTTAAAGAGAAAGAAAAAAAACATTGTTTTTGAATAATTAATTAGACAGCAAATTAAATGCATTTTTTTTTTTTTTTTTTTTTTTTTTATAATTTGTTTTAAATTTTAAAAATTGATTTACATTGCTTTTTTTTTTTTTTTTAATATATCTATTTATATCAAGAAAAATGCTTTGCTGACAATTTCTCTGCTGAAATGTTTGGCTTTAGTATGCGTTTCTGTGAAAAATTTATATTAAAAGTTAATTTTCACCCGGCAAAAGCAATAAATTTATATCAGCCATAACCAAATGATGGCTCGCGAGCCGTATGCATAAAATGCAAAATAACACATTTTTTGAATATTTGTGGAAAGTACAAAATTTTCGAATGAAGGAACACAAGTGGAAAGTAAGCGGAAAGAAAAGAATCAAAAAAAAGGGTCCTATATATATATATATATATATATATATATAGCACTAATATTACAACTACCAGTCATGAAATTTATATACATTTCGTTTGAAATGTGGTACTATCGAAAAATCACATGGATTCGTCGCTGTCATCGTCCAAAAGTGCATCTCTCGTCCGTCTCATTGCTCATGATCTTTGACCAAGAACGATATGGTATAAGCTTTTTATCTCATTTTCTGAAAGGCGAAGGGACAGACGTACTGAAACGTACTTACTTTCTTGGATGGATTAAGAGAATCTTATATATACTTTATATAGTCATAATTTCACATTTTTGAATATTCAAACTGTAAAAGCTCGAAGCACTCGAAGATGGTAATCATAGTAGAAACGGCGAGAGCTTTTCCTCGAACAGCGCAACTCCGCTTAACCATGACCTAACTGGTAAAGATACCATCCCTTCACCTTTCACATACATTAAACTTGGCAGTGAGCCCATAGTCATAGTGCTTCTGCACATCTTAATTTGTAGAGTGCATTTTAATTTAGACAAAGATGATGACAGATGACCATGAAACTTAAAATAATAAACCGAAGAATGTCTTAGAGGAAGGTAGAGAAGATCCTTTCAATGGCAATAACGAATGGCTTAAGGAACATGAGGGAAATTTGTTCCAATATTTTCAATAAACTCTGTCAGTGTCAGTAAAGAGTAAACGGATAATGTACCGGATTGGTTTAATCCCGCATAGAAAACAGTTGTGTATCTCTGGTGTGTGCTGTTAGTGTTTCTTCTTCGGTAAATTGTCGGTTATAAATTATAACAACCATAGCAAAAACTAATAAACGCAAGCAAACGAAATGAAAAGTTTTTCTTCTTTTTTTGTAAATGCATGCATACATATACATATATATATGTATATATTAATATATATGGAGTTTTCACTTTTAGCCGAGGAATGCACTCTAATGTAATAGAAACATAGAAAAGCAAAAGTGAAGAAAAATAAAGAAACAAACCATTGTTTTAAATAAAAATTGTATCCCAAAAAAAGAGTATAAATGAATGAATAAACGTATGAATGAATGTATAAAGGAATGTGGTATTCACCACATACGAATACATGCACACGTCTATAGATCATAATGACAACAATGGTCGCGGTGCGGCGCTATACAATCGTTACTGTGTTACTCTCTGATGAAAGCACAAATACTCTAACTATATGTAATAAAACGGCAAAGACCACGACCACCACTTTATACATTACATATATATATATATGAAATCGCGTAATACTTTTAATTATAACGAAAACAATGTTAACTTGCTTGTACGATAAAGAAAACAAAAAAAAAAAAAAAAAAAAAAAAAAAAAAAAAAAAAAAAAAAAAAAATGTTAAATAAAACAAAAGCAATTAAAAGTGAAAATTATTATAAAAATCACATGAGAGAAAAATTTTATAAAAAGAATCGCTTCGCAAAAGAAAAAGAAAAAAAAAAAAGAAATGCGAATTAATAAAAAAAAAAAAAAGAAAAAAGAAAAAACAATGAGAAAATATCTTAATTTACTGAAATAATCAAGCGTAATAAACGTAACTGAAATTTTTTTTTTTTTTTTACTTCATTAAAGAAATGCAAATAATTAATTAAATTCTTATTGTTCTGTAAAAACTTTCAAGTATAAAGAGTAAATGATTTCTATGTTTTTTTTTTTTTTATTTAGAAAAACAAACATTTCTTCATTGTAAGAGAGAGATAAAGCAAAAAAAAGCCGACAGAATTCCTTACAACAATAAATACTCAAGTGCATCTACATTTCACACAGCTTGTTACACCTATCTACCTACCTACCTACCTTATTTAACGAATGACATCACGCAGTAGCGATTTAGATTTTTTCGTTTCTTAAAATACTAACATCGAAGGCATTTACAATGTGTTTTGTATTTTGTCTTTAAAAAGCATTCTGTTTTCGTAGCGACAACCTTCAATCTTGAATGAAAGAATAGAAAACACATTTTTCGCAGTACCCACGAACTTAAATCTTAAATCCGATTGCCGTTCACCCAACTTGCGTGCGCTCACTTTTGATAGATAAAATTTACCTCGTGTTCTACTATTTGGGGGAACGCGACGTATAAGTTATTTTTAAGTAATAAGAACGTGCGACGTGGTTCCATAATCGATAAAATATTTTGCATTTTTGTGACGATTTATCGGTGTACACTCAGTATGATTTATATCCCCTATGGGAAATTACAATTTTCAAATCCGCTCTAAATGGATATGGTAACTTTGGACCGGCTGAGGCAATTTTCATTTCAAGGAAATACATGCTGGAAACCAAAAATTCTTCTTAAGAATGACTGTTAATGAAAGCTTGTGATCGATTCGAGAAAATTCGGTTCGCAAACACGGTTACTTTATTCAAATAAAAGCTTATTTTAAATCATCTTTGTTCGCTACAACACTCTTGATACAAGTGAAGTCTATGCGAATTGAAAATAAACCTAAATACGATCTATTCAAAATCACTTTCTAGGCCGATATCATCTTCCCTGTCGGTGTCTCCATCTTCTTATTTTCAACCTACAGGTGGCAATTTTTAAGAAATTTTAGATCCCTTACAATCAATATTCGATCGCTGAAGGTCATATCAAGAGGTAACCAAGTGAACGTTTTACGAAAACATTCACTCCACGGTACGCACTCAATAAAGATTGTTTGCGAAAATATTCAGACTTGATAAAAATTCTTTAGCAATAAGGCAAACAAAGTCAAGTAATAACGCGACTGCATGTCAGAGTGTCAGCTACCAAAATAATCTTTCTCCAGCAATTCCGGAAAATTATGCCATAAAAAACGAGGCTAATGCCGTCCAAATTTGACACGGAACTAATCCATTTTCTAAAACATGACGTTTATTAAAAAATTTTTAACAAATCGGAAAATATTTCTTTTCAACTTACTATCATCTTCCACTTTTGCGAATCATCTGCTTGAGTAGAAAATAATATTAGATCGAAAAAAAGGAAAATAAAATTCTAAAAATTAAAACAAATTACGTTTTAAAGGCTAAATGAGAAAATTAATAATAACTAACTTTCAAATGGCAATACCATATCATTGCCATCATCATATATCATTTTGCAGCGGGATGAAAGAGAACGAATACTACAGCATTTATGCCCGTTAATGTGCTAAAATGATTTCTTCTTCAATTCTTTTCCAAATTTAAACAACTCCAGTCCTTTTTCAAATTTCTCGTCTCATTTTACGTAGATACCATGTCAATAGAAAGATAAACTCTAGATAATGGATGAAGGTATTGTATAATTTAAACGAAATCTTTCGGAACTATGGCACAGTGCCATTCTTTCGCTTCGACAAGCTTGTGAAAACCTCTCAGAAACTCGGCAATGAGAATCCTGTATCCAGCTTCATCTATCTACAATTTTACGAGTCAAACAGGAAATCTACGTCTGGATTTTATGGATTTTAATAGGACAAGACAATAGCGAAAGAAATTCTTCAACGAGATAGAGCTACTAAGAATTTGCATTGCAGTCTTCTCCCCACATTAGGGTCGTAACAATTTGCCCCACTATTTAACCTAAGTGCAAATTCTAATTTTCTATTTCTTCTTTCGGCTCTAATCAACTATTGGAACTAGTTTAGAAGAGAACTACTATACGTAATTCAATCTTCTTTCTTAGAGGACATTAAAAATGTTAAGAATTTCAAATAAAGTGAAAGTTTGCGTTTTTTTTTTCAAAATTTTGCTCTTTTACTTACCTTATAAACTTCGGAGAAAAATCCTGAACCGATTTTCTCTTTGACGAAATCATCGACGGAATATAAAGCTGAAACAGCTGTGCGTAAAGCCTTACATGAAGGCCCCGTCACTAAACGATCCGATGAGGTAGTACAACCAATAGCTGGCGGCAGCGGTGGAGGGGCTATAAAATTTTTTGTAATTTTACCGCCGCTGCAACTACTACCACTACTACCAGCACCATTATTGCCACTATTACCACCATTGCTACTTGATGATATATTGCTAATATTCATAGTGGTAGATGTCATGCCTGCACCTTCGCAAACGCTTTTGCATGCAGAATTACCGTTAATTAATGGTGTACACGATGACGACGATAACGAACAAGAACTGGAAATAATGGACAACGATGGCGATGACATTGAAGATGTCGATGAGCCGGTTTTAGTATTCATAAATGTTGTAATCGCTACTTTCTTGTAATCGATTTCATTCAATGTTGAAAAATGATTGCTACTGTCGCAAGTCTTTATTGCTATTGACGGCGCTAGTGTTGTATTAAGGGCGTTTGCGGCATAAGACTTCATTGGTCGGCCAGGACCACTGTGTTGATTTATATTCATTATTATCACCGTTGATGGGAGCGTACCGGCGCGTTTACAATTCGCACAAGCATTACCGTCGACGTACAATTAATAAACAAAAATAAAATAAAACTAAAGCGACTGCACAGAATATAACACGTGATGAAATTTCATAAATTTATTATTATTTAGTCCGTTCTGTTTTCCTTATTTATTTATTTATTTATTTTTTTTTTTTTTTTTTTTTTTCTTCGCCAAAACTAGCGGTTTCCGTCTATCAGCCGAAATGAATGCTTTTTACGACGACGACGAACGTCGCTCACATGGATGGCGAGCTTATTAAAATACTATTAAAAATTTTGAAAATTTAACACACAAATTGTTTTCTCAATCAAATCAAAAATTCAATCCAAAAAAAAAAAAAAAAAAAAAAAAAAAAAAAAAAAAAAATAGGTAAAGAAAGAAAGGGAAAATGAAATAACATAATATCGATTAAGATAAATATCGGAAATACGGCGACGAACAATGACAGCCAACGAATCACAATCGATTGCTGACGATCTCTAAAACTGAAAATCGTCAACAAAATAATGCTGATTAAGTTGTTTCCACACTTTTTCAATTGTAAACTTTTTGTATTATATATATTTTAAAAATACTTTTCGTTTTTTTTTTTTTTTATTATTTTTTTTTCAAAACTTTTTCTCCTTTCAGTTTATCCGAAATATTTGTAAATAAATTTCTATAAATATATTTTGGCACTTTTTTCAGTAAAACGTTTAAAGAGAAAAGGAGAATAAATAATTGAATAAAGCGCGCGCATACACTTCATAACGGGAGAGAGGTTGGATAATTGAAAATATCAACTTGTTTTATTTAAAAATAAATAAATTTTATCAAGTTCAAATTAAATACATTTAATACCGCACATAAGCTACGAAGATTGGAAGAGCTCAAGTTGTTCTTTAGTTTATCTGCAAATAAAAAAAATAAACACAAAAACAAAAAATTAATTCCAAAAATAAACATTTAAGGTTAAGAGATAAATGAATAATAATAATAAAATATCTGTTTTAAAATTTCAACAGCAATTTTGTAGACATATTCATTTTATACCCTACACCGGTTGTAGTAAAAAAGTACATTAAGTTGATGCGAAAGTATGCAACACATGCAGAAGAACTTGAGACAGATTTACTTTTTATTAAACTGATTGATGCACAAATTGATTTTGAAGATATATAAGACTGTCTGTCCATTTGTTTGTCTTTTGTGCTTATGTTCAACCTACTGCCAGCAATTTTTCCGCTCGCAACACTTTTCCCTCCAACCACTTCCCATCTAATTACTTGTTATATAAATAACTATATGGTTTTGTAGGGTATTTCATGTTACGCCGTGCGCCACTATAGTGTTTGAACTTTTTTTTTGTTATGGTATGATCTATAAAAAAAACCGTCCTTAAGTGCAGCCGGAAAAAGGAAACTGCAGCGAACAACAAGTGGTTTCTCAAAAATAGTTGTGCCGAGATTAAACTTCTAAAAAAAACAACTATGGCCCTTTAATGGCCCTTCGTTCAGGGTAGCACCAACTATCACTTGATTTTTTAACATTATATTTCGATCGATGATGGAGAGAGAAGAGAACTGGCTCGAAAAAGCTTTCTCGCAATCTACCATGACCTATTCTAATCCCTACCCCGCTTTCGTTATAAGAAGACAGGGCGTTTTGGTCCCCTGCTTCATAATCATCTTTAAAAAAAACTTAGGACATCAGCAGGCGGTCCTATCCTAATCATTCACCGTCAATGTGATTCTCAGCCATCCCCAGCCAGTTTCTATCGGAACGAACACTTGCTGCGATACACGGTAAGCATCCAAGGCCTAGCGTGCTTCAAACCTATCATGTCACCTATATTTTATAGGTGATGCCAAGACCGCAAACTAGTCAATCTAAATCTACCTGCTATTTGCCGGACTGTGGGGACGACCGAGTGCTTCTATTCATAATTATTGAGAATAATACTTAGTTCACGATATATACAAAATAGACGTAAAAAAAATTTATTAATTACATAAGTTAACCAAGCAACTAGTATGGATTAATGTGAATTACAACATATTTTTATAGCTGCTTCTAAAATAGTAATTCCAAGTCTAATAAGTCACGTCCGTTTATCCGGGATTGAGCTTATTTTCAGTATTATGAAAACTGGAGATAATGTAAAGTGGGAAAGTGGAAGAAATTTTCGCAATTGCTCTATACGCAACTTATATACCATACGCTTAAGTCAGCTATTATTAAGTCAAGCTATTAACAATAAAATAATACGAACTTTGATGCTCACAGTCCGGTCGGAACCAATTATTTTTTATATTGTCCAAAAATATATTTGTACCAAGTTCCACCTCTTATACGTGTACCTCGTCGATAAACTCTTGGTCGTTTATTGCGAATGTTTTTATAGACAGATTACGCGTCAACTTCTACACCGAAAATCTAAAACCGATTTCCTATGCGGGAAATATACTACAGATATTAAGCTATATTTGTTCTTGCCCATGTTCGTAGTAGTAGATTGTGGCACGTTCAAGGCAATTTTTGCCAAATATGACCTATGGGCCTCCACCTAAGAGTTTTTATGCAAAACTCTTTTCCCAGTTTTACGGATCATAAGTATTTTAATATTCCAAGACAGACATGATTCACAATTCACCTCTGCATCTTATATTGATAAAGAACACATGTTAAAAATTTGTCGAAACCCTTATGCACCTCTGACTTGCATGTCTCATTAGCAGAAGAAAAAATTCAATATGAACAACAATTATTATTGTTGAGGACATAGAAACAATGTTTAAAGAAAATCCTACATCGAGTAGACTTGAGACATTTTGTTATTATATTATTAAAATTTACTTAATTTGTTTATTTTTGTAATTTTTACAAGTAAATTCAATAACAAAGCTATCATCCTCTATAAAAATATTTAAGAATTCTTATCGCAACCTACTCACGTGTAATAGTTGAAATATTTCATCACGTAATCTTTGCTATCACTTTATATAAAATGTGTGTGTTGTTTTCGAATATATAACAACTAGCACGAGCTTTTTTACTTTATTTTTTTTTATTTTTTTTTTTAAATTTACTTAATTTCTCTTACGAATTCAAGTACTAAAAAGCTATAGTCAGAGAGTGTGTGTAGTATTTTACGTTAATTGTTAAATAAATATTTGCAAAAAAAAAAAAAAAAAAAAAAAATGCACAAAAAGGTATATAAA